TGTAAGCCCAGGTGTAAGTCCAGGTGTAACTCCAGTTGTAAACCCAGGTGTAAGTCCAGGTGTAACTCCAGTTGTAAGTCCAGGTGTAACTCCGGTTGTAAGCCCAAGAGTGACTCCAGCTGTAAGCTCAGGTGTAAGTCCAAGTGTAACTCCAGCTGTAAGCCCAGGTGTAAGTCCAGCTGTAACTCCAGTTGTAAGCCCAGGTGTAAGTCCAGGTGTAACTCCAGTTGTAAGTCCAGGTGTAACTCCAGTTGTAAGCTCAGGTGTGACTCCAGCTATAAGTCCAAGTGTAACTCCTGTTGTAAGTCCAGGTGTACGTCCAGGTCTAACTCCAGTTGTAAGCCCAGGTTTACGTCCAGGTGTAACTCCAGCTGTAAGCCTAGGTGTAACTCCAGCTGTAAGCCCAGCTCTAAGCGCAGGTGTAAGTCCAGCTATAATTCCAGTTGTAAGCCCAGCTGTAAGTCCAAGTGTAACTCCAGCTTTAAGTCCAGCTGTAACTCCAGTTGTAATCCCAGGTGTAAGTCCAGGCGTAACTCCAGTTGTAAGCACAGCTGTAATTGCTGCTGTAATTCCAATTGTAAGCCCAGGTGTAAGTCCAGGTGTAACTCTAGTTGTAAGCCCGGGTGTAAGTCTAGGTTTAACTCCAGTTGTAAGCACAGGTGTTAGTCCAGGTGTAACTCCAGTTGTAAGCCCAGCTGTAATTGCTGCTGTAATTCCAATTGTAAGCCCAGGTGTAAGTCCAGGTGTAATTCCAGTTCTAAGCACAGGTGTTAGTCCAGGTGTAACTCCAGCTGTAAGCCCAGGTGTAAGTCCAGGTGTAACTCCAGTTTTAAACACAGGTGTAAGTCCAGGTGTAACTCCAGTTTTAAACCCAGGTGTAAGTCCAGGTGTAACTCCAGTTTTAAACCCAGGTGTAACTCCAGGTGTAACTCCAGTTGTAAGCCCAGGTGTAAGTTCATGTGTAACTCCTGTTGTAATCACAGCTGTAAGTCTGGGTCTAAGTCTAGCTGCAGTTCTCTTAGTCTGAGCTTTGTTTCCATCAGCGATCTAACTAAAACCAGTCCACTTCATGTGTATCCTCTGTGCTCTTCAGGGAGAGATTGCTGCAGACGCTGCTGGGATGTGGATACACCTTCCAGGAGTTCATGATCTCCCCAACAAGTGTGAGAACCTCCATGACCTCCTCTCTCTGCTAACAGCATGGTTATACATCAGATCCCTAGTTGATCATTAAATCCACTCAGAACCTAAATGCTGAAACTGGGAGACAGAGCTGGCTGCAGCAAACAGGAAGGGGCGGAGCCAGCAAACCATATTTGGAAATGAAGCTTTCTCTCCTCTGTACGCGTTTTCTGATTATTCCTTTATTGGGTTTTTATCTGGAGCTGTGGTGCATTTAATACAATATTATAAAATATATCTTTAAAAAACATTAAATAACTCAAACCAATGAAATAAAAAAAAAAAAAAAA